CTGCAGGCACCTGCCACAACACCACAGCTATTTTGTTGTTGTTGTTGTAGTTGTCATTGTTGTTTGGCAGGCCTGGGCCAGGTTCAAACCTGCCAGTTCCAGTGCACGTGGCTGGCGCCTAGCCACTGAGCTACTAACGTTGAGCCTATTTATTTATTATTGAGATAAGAGTCTCACTCTATTGCCCTGGGTAGAGTGCTGTGGCATCATCATAGCCCACAGCAACCTCAAACTCTTAGGCTCCTGTGATCCTCTTGCCTCAGCTTTCAAAGTAGCTGGGATTACAGGCGCCTGCCGCCAATCCTGGCTAGTTTTTATACTTTTTAGTCAAGATCGAGTCTTGCCCTTTATCAAGCTGCTCTCCCACTCCTGAGCTCAAGCAGTCCACCTGCCTCAGCCTCTCATATTGCTAGGATTACAGGTGTGAGCCACCATTTTCAGCCTATTTATTTATTTATTTAAAAATTTTCATTAAGGCTCGGTGTGTGTGGCTCAGCGGCTAGGGGACCAGCCACACACCCGAGACGACGCGTTTAAGCCCAGCCTGGGCCTGCCAACAATGACAATTCTAACCAAAAAATAGCCAGGTGTTGTGGTGGGCACCTGTAGTCCCAGCTACTTGGGAAGCTGAGGCAAGAGAATTGCTTAAGCCCAAGAGCTTAAGGTTGCTGTGAGCTGTGACACCACAGTACTCTACCCAGGGCAACGTAGTGAGACTCTCTCAAAAATAAAATTTTTTTTTCATTAAAATTTTTTGTAGAGGCTCAGCACCCATAGGACAGTGGTTATGGTGCCAGCCACATACATCAGAGGTTCGAACCCAGCCTGGGCCAGCTAAACAACAATGACAGCTGCAAACAAAAAATAGCCGGGCCTTCTGGCGGGCACCTGTAGTCCCAGCTACTTGGAAGGCTGAGGCAAGAGAATGGCTTAAGTCCAAGAGTTGGAGGTTGCTGTGAGCTTGACGCCATGGCACTCTACCCAGGGTGACATGGTGAGACTCTGTGAGAGCAGGGTCTTGCTCTGCCACCCAGGCTGGAAAGCAGTGGGCACAATCACACTCACTGCACCCTTGAACTCCTGGACTCAAGCCATTCTCCTATTTCCACCTCTTGGTTGCTGAGATTATAGGTGTAGCCTGCATTTTTAAAACTTTTATTATGGAAATTTTCAAATCCATAGAAAAGATAGAATAGGCTATTGATCCCCCATGTACCTGTCATACAAAGCTTGTGATCAGACTTGTTTCATTCTTCTCCCTCCACCATCCTGTTCTTTAGCCAGTGGAGGCCCCTGTGACATCTCTAGAGTACATCTAGGTTGTGGAACCCCCATAAGAGTCCACCTAGGGATTTGGAGCACCCTAGATTGAGGGACACTGAAAGAGTGAGTTGCATGGTCTTAGTAGTTGAGGCTTCCTGGATATGCAGAGAAGTCACTGGTGCAGAAGCAAGGAGGGGCTAGGGACATCCTAACCTGACTCCTCACTTCCCCCTCCCCCTGGCAGGTGTGCTGGGCCTGACCTGGTTCATTAACAAGTTCCGCATTGTGAAGCTGACCCCCAAGGACCAGTTCATCATTGCCTACGGGGGCCTACGAGGAGCTATCGCCTTCTCCCTGGGGTACCTCCTAGACAAGAAGCACTTCCCCATGTGCGACCTGTTCCTGACGGCCATCATCACTGTTATCTTCTTCACTGTCTTTGTGCAGGTGCTGGGCCAGGGTGGTGCAGGCCCTTGCTTTGGGGACCCTGACGGTGTTCCAGTGGAAAGAAGGGAAAACATGTGACTCAAATTGAGGTCATAGGTTCTAGTCTTAGCCCCACCACTAACTTGCTACTTGACCTTGGACAAGCCACCATCCTCCTTTTTGGGCCTCCGTTTCCCCAATTGTAAAGGCCGTATTGTGATAATGGATTATTGTGAAATGACTGATCAGAATCTAAAGTAACCAAATTACTTTTGGTTACTTTATACTCCAGTTTTATTTTATGCTGCCTAATTCAATTAGGAGCCCAGATAACAGTAAGAGAAGTGGATACAATCAGCAGGGCCAAGATCTGCCTTTGCCAACTCATGACAACAGATGTCATATCTTAGGGTCTCAGTTTCTGTGTCTGTAAAATGGGAATAATAGCACTGCATGGGAAAGTCTTGGAGTCAGCTGTATCTTTGCTGCTGTGTCTTTGTGGCCTTCCTCTTGAGTTTTAGTTCCCCATCTGTGAAGTAAGGGGACCGAGCTGAGATGATCCCCAAGAATTCAGCCTGCTGATCAATAATTTCTACGTTTAAATGATCCAGGCTCAGCTGAGAGCCCCCTGCACTCCCCATCCCATGTCCCCAAGGAAGCCCAGGCTGGCTCACTCTGTGTGGCCTGGGGCAACTGAGAAACCCTGTCTGGGGCTCCAGTTCTGTACCATCCCTGTGTCTTTCCTAGACACTAATCCTCGCAAAGTCCTAGATGGGATGAATCTTTGCATTCTCATGAGAAACAAAGGGGAAACCTTCCATGGCTGGGCTTATTCTTTGTCCTTTGAAGAAGGGGCTCCCTCTTTTGTCCTCTTGCTCTGCTTCCATTTTTTCACCTTGACTTTGTAGTTGTAAGTGCTAATGGTTTTCTAAGCCCATTTTCATTGAAGGCAACATTGGGATGGGGACCTCCCTGTGGAAGCAACCTGCCTGGCTCTCCCACTTCTGTGAGACTTTGGAACATTGCTTAACCCCTCTGAGCCTCAGTTTCCTCATATGTAAAAGGGCAATAATGAAAGGACCTATGTCTTAGGGTTATTGTGGGTATTAAAGAACTAATACAAATACACTTGCAACCAGGCCTGTCCCAGGGCAAGAGCACAGTTAAATTAGCTGCTGCTGTCACTATGAGGTCCTCCTGCAGTCCTTGTAGGGAGGCAGAGCAGGTCCGCTTTTCCCTGTATATGAGCCCTGACTCCTTGGGTTTGCAGAGTTTGTCTGCAGAGGAGCCTGCCTAAGTTCTGGGATGGAGGCTTGGGAATTCGAGCACTCTTTAGTCCTGGGAGAGGGTATCCTAGCCTCAGGGGCCACCCTGGCTGGGTTGCAGAGCCAGACTGCCTGACACCCTCCTACTCCCTCAGGGCATGACCATTAGGCCCCTGGTAGACCTATTGGCGGTGAAGAAAAAGCAAGAAACAAAGCGCTCCATCAATGAGGAGATCCACACGCAGGTACTGGGAGCTGGGGCTGGGCCCTGGGGTGGAGGTGCAGGAGAAGGCTCAGGGAGCTGGGTGGGCACTAGGCCTCATGTCTCCACCCTCAGTCAGCTCCTCCTCCCTTATGCCAGTGCTGGACTGGTCCCTCCTTCCCTCAAGGCCGCCAGGGTCTGGCCATAGGGAAAGTGTGGTGTGAGCAGCTGGGAGCCTGAGAAGGCATCATGCCATCTCTGTCTCTAGTTGGGACCTAGTCCAGACATTGGGCATAGGTCAGAGAATGGGGCTCAGTCTGATAACCAGGAGCAGAGGGTTTGAATGTCCAGCATGGGGTCCCCAGGGTTCAGGATGAGTGAGGTATAGGCACCACCTCCTGGCCACTTCTGGAACTACAGGACTGGGGGAGCTCTGCTACAGCTGGCAAGGAAAGGTGCCGGGAAGGGGGAGGTGTTTGGAAGTTTGGGAAGGGAAGGTGCCCAGTAGTGAGCCTTGACCTGGCCCTGGGCCCATTTCAGTTCCTGGACCACCTTCTGACAGGCATTGAGGACATCTGTGGCCACTACGGCCACCACCACTGGAAGGACAAGTAGGTGGCAGGCCTGGTGGGTGGCAGGCGGGCAGGGAGGGACAGGTGAGGGTCTCAGGGCCTGGGAACTGGCTCCATCCATCTCCTTCCTCCTTTCACCAGGCTCAACCGGTTTAATAAGAAGTATGTGAAGAAGTGCCTGATAGCCGGCGAGCGCTCCAAGGAGCCCCAGCTCATTGCCTTCTACCACAAGATGGAAATGAAGCAGGCTATCGAGCTGGTGGAGAGCGGGGGCATGGGCAAGATCCCCTCTGCTGTCTCTACTGTCTCTATGCAGTGAGTGCCCACAGCAGACCCTGGCCCCGTAATCCCAGCCAGAGGCAGGCCACTGGGGGTTAGGAGAGCCCCCTGTTGTCCTGTCAGGGCAGGGAATGAGCTTTCAGGCCACAGCCATGTGGAGCCCAGCAGGCTCCAGGGTCACAAGAATTTTCTTGGGGACCTAACCTGTACCCTGTTGCCCCAGGAACATCCACCCCAAGACCCTGCCTCCTGAGCGCATCTTGCCGGCATTGTCCAAGGACAAGGAGGAAGAGATCCGCAAAATCCTACGGAACAATTTGCAGAAGACCAGGCAGCGAGTAAGAGCCTGCTTCCCAGCCTGGCTCCCCCACAGCAGAGGATCCCTTGGCCCCTCTCCACAGCAGCCCTCCCCTGCACATTCCCCCCAGCATGCCTTCCGGAGTCCCAGCTCAGCCTCTAGCCCTCCCCCATCCTGCCCCCCTCACAGAGCTTCTGGGGCCTGCCCTGATGGCTATTCTTCCCACAGCTACGGTCCTATAACAGACACACGCTTGTGGCAGACCCCTATGAGGAGGCCTGGAACCAGATGCTGCTTCGGAGACAGAAGGCCCGGCAGCTGGAGCAGAAGGTGGCCCCTGCCTCTCTCTGGGAATCTGAGTTTTTCTTCCTGTACTCCCATCCTTAGCACTCTGGCATGCTCCTCTGAGGAAATGTCTCTATTCTAGAAACAGAGTGTTTGAGCTTGATCCCAAGGGCATGGAGAGCCATGACCCCTTGGTCTAAGCAAGGGGATGCCATGGGAGTGGCCTGGATTAGAGCAGTGGCAGAGAGATGGAGAGAAGTGGGTAGACATAAGGGACATTGAGGAAAAGACTTGGCTATCAGTTTGAGATGGGCTGAGAGAAGAGGAAAAGGAGTCAGGATCACGTCTGGGCCTCTTACTGGGCTGGTGGGAGAGGTGACTGCTGTGCAGGATCCTGAGGAGGGAACACAGTTTTAAGGGAAGGAAGGAACTGAGCTCAGTCTCATCATGTTTGATTTGAGATACTTAGGGGCCATCCAAGGCCCAGGTACCCACTCCCAAGCTGGCTTTAAGGGTCTTTAGTGCTGGGGCAGATGTGGGCTGGAGCTAGAGGCTGGGCCAGCACAGGGATGTTGAAAGCTGCCCAGGAGGTTGCTAGCTTTACAAGTGCCTGCGACAAGCCCACAGGAGCCCCTGAAGGGCCAGGACAGGTGCTAGCATAGGCGTGAGGAAGGGCTGGTAACCGTCCCCAAGCATACAGTGAGGACTGCACTGGCCTTGGGCACCATCCAGAGGGCTCCCTCCACCCTGCCCACACTCACCTGGCTTCTCTCTCTATCAGATGAACAACTACCTGACGGTGCCGGCTCACAAGCTGGACTCGCCCACCATGTCGCGGGCTCGTATTGGCTCAGGTAAGGGCCTGGTGAAGGGCCTTGGGGCTGGGCCCTCATACCGCTGCCCCTGAGGATGAGGCTCTGACAGGAATGGGCTTCCGAGAACCAGCTGGGAGGACAGAGCTACTCCTTGCCAGCCTCCTCCCAAGCCAGGAGCTGCTTCTAGGTCAAGTGTGGCTGGGGGTTTGCAGAAGGGGGCAGAGGTACCGTGTTTCCCCGAAAATAAGACACCGTCTTGTATTTATTTTTTCTCAAGAAGACACACTAGGGCTTAATTTCAGGGGATGTCTTCCTCTCAGTGCCAAAATGCATGGCATGGCTATGCAGATACGCTGCATAACCACACCCATCACTAGGTCTTATTATCGGGGTAGGGCTTATATTTAACAAATGCATAGAAATCCTGCTAGGGCTTATTTTGGGGGAAACACGGTACTCCCAACAAGGACTATGAAGGGAGCTGGAGGAGATAGGGTGGCTGGGAGGGAGGCAGGGGGTTTGTACCCTTGACTCTTCAGCACATGTACAGGAAATAAGGGCCCTAGGGCAGGCAGTAACTTAGGAAGAACCCAAATTCTTGACTTTCTAGGGACACCTGTGGTCTGAGGAGGGGACCAGTTTGAGGGAAAAGAAGTATTTCCCTTCTCTGGAGTAGAGGGTTGCAAGGGCCAGTGTGATGCAGGCCTGAGGCTCTATTCATGGGAAGCTCCTGTGGGAGGTGCTGACACAGCTAACTTGATGCAGACTAGGCCATTCTCAGGAGGAGAACCCAACTTGTGTCTTGCTCTTGGTTCCCCAGACCCACTGGCCTACGAGCCGAAGGCAGACTTGCCGGTCATCACCATTGACCCAGCCTCCCCACAGTCGCCCGAGTCCGTGGACCTAGTGAATGAGGAACTGAAGGGCAAGGTGTTGGGGCTGAGCCGGGACCCAGCAAGGGTGGCCGAGGAAGACGAGGACGATGACGGGGGCATCATGATGAGGAGCAAGGAGCCTTCATCCCCAGGCACTGACGATGTCTTCACCCCTGGGCCAAATGACAGCCCCAATGCCCAGAGGATACAGCGCTGCCTCAGTGACCCTGGCCCACACCCTGAGCCTGGAGAGGGAGAGCCATTTATTCCCAAGGGGCAGTAACATCCCCAGGGCAGTGCCCATCTCACCATAGACTCTCCCACAGAGCAGGGGCTACTGACCTGGATTGGCCCTGCCCTTTCCCTACCGCATGGCAGCTGGGCCCACAGGCCACCACACTCCCCCTTACCCTGCAGCAGGGCTTCCCCTGCCTCCTGGGAAGCGTCCTTTCACCATACCCATGGGGCAGAACTGCTGTGCTGGTGAGCAGGCCCTGCTCCTTCCCCAGGCCTAGGCTCTCCCGCACCACACAGGGACCAGGGCCTCAGAGGCCATCCCTCCACTCCATTGCCCTCCCTGTTCACACCAATCTTATTTCTAACCAAAGAGGCTCTGGCTCAGCAGTGGTCCTACCTGGAGGGGAAGGCACTGAGGCTTCCTTAATCAGGGGAGACACCTGGGTGCCAGGCAGGTGGCAGGAGGAGGAGGAGTCAGTGGCCCTACTCCTGCCAGCTCTGTCACCCTGGCTGGCCACCCCAACCTGTCCTCACTCAGAGCTGCAGTCTGAGGGCATCTCTGAGCTGTACTGCCTGGAGCTGGGACACTTTGTATAGGGACAAAGTTGTGACTTAGAGCTTTCCAAACCACTCCTTCGGGGACCACTGGCCTTTCAGGGGCTGTTGCCAGGGGAGGGACTATTGGGGCTCCAGAAAGTGCTGCCTTTTTATGTTTTGTTTGTTCACACTTCCATGTATGATTCTGTTTGCACAGAGGGCACTTCTGTTTTTAAACCACCTGGCTGAACAGAACTCTGTCCTCCATTTCCTTCCACTCACTCCAGAGAATCAGCCCTCATTTGTACCTGTCTGTCCAGCCTCCTCCTCAAGTCAGTCCTCTGCCTGCTGAGCTCTTAACTGTTGCCCAAAGGCTTTGATTGCAACAGTGCCCCCCCCCCCCAATCACGATTCTCCCACAGATACCAGGCCTCTTGGCACCTGACCTCAGTTCCTGCTGGTCCCGTGAGGCCGTGGAAGGCTTTTCTTACTGCCCCCACCCCAGGGTTGGGCCCTGGAACCCCTTCCTCATGTGCATCACACCCAGCTTGCCATGGAGCCCAGTGCTGGGAGAGGAGGCCTCCCCTGAGGATCTCTTGCCCACAGAGACTGGTCAGTAGGGCAGAATGCTGGGCCCCAGCAGCCTTTGCTCACAGGCCCTCTGCCCTCCTACCCCCTGCCATGGCCAGTCCTGTTGGTGTGTGTTCTCCCCAGGACAGTTCCTGCCCCAGGTTCGTGCAATATCAGGATTGTGCCCCTCTTTTCAGTGGACTGGGCCCCTCTTTCCAGTGGACTGGACCATGGGTCCTCGGCCCATCTGTCCGTCCTCTCCATGCAAGTGCTGTTTCGAGCAGGAGTCATCACGCAAGGGTGACATTGACAACCATATACAAAGCCACCGCAGCTGCTGCCGCTCTGCCGCCTGTACAGAAGAAACTGAATCTTTTTCATATTCTAATAAATCAATGTGAGTTTTTGATAGAGTCAAGAGCTGCTTCCTGGGGATGAGGGGCTTTAGGAAGGAGGTCGGCTACGGGCTGGGAGCATTTAGCTCACAGGCTGGCAGAGAATCATTAGTAGCTATCAGCTGCTGGTGTGGATATTCCATGTGCCGGGCACCGAGATAACAATGGTGAGCAAAGCAAGATGTTCCCTGGCCTCAAGAGCCCCCAGTCCAGCAGGAAAAGCAGCATTTATTAGATATTGAGCAGGCTGGAAAAGCTCAGTGTGTCTGTGAGAGAGATGAATAAAAGGCAGAGGCTGAGGAGGGGATGGCATGAAGGACTTTCCTAAATACTCTTTTCCCAAATAACTCTATTTGGGAACTGTACACACAAACATCCTGGGATCTAAGAAAAGGTAGGGATGGCCAGGTCAGAGAGTGACAGCAGGCAGCAAGGTGGGGACCTTGAAGTCCATGGTTACGATTTTGGTTTTTATACTAAGGACAGTGGAAAGTCATTGATACCCTATGTTTTTCTGTAAAAAAGGGATAGCAACCCTTGGATGAAATATGCTTTGGTATGTGGAGGTTGAGCACGTCCAACCTGAAAATCCAAAATCTGGAAAATTCCAGAATCCGAAGCTCCAACCTGGCTCCCCAAGTGGGAAATTCTGTATCTGACTATATGTGACTGGTCATAGTCAAAACATAAAACTGTTTTTCAGGCACAAAATTATTTTAAATATTATATAAAATTACCTTCAAGCTAGGTCATGTGTAGTGGCTCACGCCTATAATCCTAGTACTCTGGGAGGCCAGGGTGGGTGGATTGCTTGAGTTCATGATTTTGAGACCAGCTTGAGCAAGGGTGAGACCCCGTCTCTAAAAATTGACACACATTGTGATGGGAGCCTGTAGTCCAAGTTACTTGGGAGGCTGAGGTAAGAGGATCGCTTGAGCCCAAGAGTTTGAGGTTGCTGTCAGCTGTGATACCATGGCACTCTGAGGGCAACAAAGAGACTGTCTAAAAAAAAAGAAAATACCTTCAAGCTGTGTGTGTAAGCTGTATGTGAAACATGAATGAATTTCATGTTTGGACTTAGATCCCATTCTCAAGATATCTTATTATGTATGTGCATGTATTCCAAAATTCAAAACAGTCCAAAATTTGAATGCTTCTGTTTGCAAGCACTTTGAGGGAGACAACCTGCATGGGCTCAGTTCAGCAGATTGGACTCCTGAGCTGCATTTTCCAGAGCTGGCCACCAGAGGGCGGTGGGGCCTTGGCGCACACCCCAGACATACTTTGAACCCGGGCTGTCCCAGAAAGTGTCTCCTGCCAAGCCTGGGGCCTGAGTGTGGAGCCAGTTTGACTCATGAATTATGAGTTGGTCAATGCCAAAAAGATTGAGGAACCACACTGTCCTTTCCTGTATCCAGCACTATCCCAGCAGGAAATGACTGGTACAGTTATTCTTCTGTATGTTCTGGGGTTTGGTTCTAGGACTCCCATGGATACCAAAATCCTGGAATGCTCAAGTTCCTGATATAAAATGGTGTAATACTGTCAGCCCTCCACAGCTGCAGATTGAAAATACTTGGGGGGAAAGGCTGGCTCTTGCCTGTAATCATAGCACCTTGGGAGGCTGAGGCAGGAGGATCGCTTGAGCCTAGGAGATCCCCAGAGTTTCAGACTAGCCTGGGCTGGACTCTGTCTCTAAAAACAGTTTAAAAACTAGCCAGGCATGGTGGTGCACACCTGTAGTTTCAGCTACTTGGGAGGCTGAGGCAGGGGAGCTCATGAACCCAGGAGTTTGAGTTTGCAGTGAGCTATGATGATGCCACTGTATACTATCTTGGGCAACAGAAGAAGATCTTATCAGAAAATATTTGGAAAACATTTTTTATTATTTATTTATTGACACAGAGTCTCAAGCTGTCACCCTGGGTAGTGTGCTGTGGCGTCGCAGCTCACAGCAATCTCAAACTCTTGGGCTTAAGTGATTCTTTTTCCTTAGCCTCCCAAGTAGCTGGGACTACAGGTGCCCGCCACAAAATGCCTAGCTATTTTTTTGTTGCAGTTGTTGCTTTAGTTGGCCCGGGCCGGGTTCAAACCCACCAGCCCCAGTGTATGCGGCTGGCTCCCTACCTACTGAGCTAAGGCGCCACCCATGGGAAAAAATTTTGAACCACAATGAAATAAAAGATAATACAAATAGTATAATAAGTATTTACATAGTATTTACATTGTATTAAATATTAGAAGTAATCCAGAGAATAGTCGAAGTATGCAAGAAGATATGCATAGATTATATACAAACCCTGTACCATTTTATATATGGGACTTGAGCATTCTTGAATTTTAGTATCCTTGGAGGTTCTGGAACAAACCCCTCACAAATACTGAGAGATGAATATAATAGCATATAGCCTACACACAACCTCCCATATACTTTAAATCAACTCTAGATTACTTAAAATACCTAATACAATGTAAATGTTGTATAAATAGTTGTTATACTGTATGGTTTTTTATTTGCATTTTTATAGTATTTTTATATGTTTTCAATCTGTGGTTGATTGAATCCATGAGTGCAGAACGTAAGGGTACAAAGGGCCGACTGTATACTCAGAGAGGTACTGGTGAGCCTTCAATTGAGGGGTTAGCTACAGAGATGTGAGCAGGGTAATAGGAAGCTACCAGGGTTGGGAGCTGGTGGCGCTCATGGTACAGGAAGCTATTACAACCCCTAGACCTGAAAGGACAAGAGAGAGGGGCCGTCACTATGAGGGGCTGCTCTGCTAGAGCTGTGCACACAGGCCCTGCAGGGTGGGGGTGGGGGGTTAAGTACTCCTACTTCATCCTGATGGTGGCGCCTGAGTGTGCACACCAGGTCAGCAGCAGAAACTTCCAATTGCACCTCAGCATCCGCTCTTGTCCTTTGGAAGAAAAACTCGTGTCTCTATTGCATAATGGTTGCAGAATTTCTGTTTGGAATGATGAAAGGTTTTGGAAATAGAGTGTGGTAATGGTTGCACAATATTGTGAATTTACTAAATGCCACTCAAGTGCTCACTTTATTATTGTATTTTTCCTCTGTGCTTCTTGAATGGATAAAGTGGTCATTTTTATTTATTTTTATTTTATTTATTTTTTTGAGACAAAGTCTCATTTTCTCCCCCCTGGTAGAGTGCCGTGGCATCTTAACTCACAGCAACCTCAAACTCTTGGGCTCAAGTGATCCTCTTGCTTCAGCCTCCCAAGTAGCTGGGATTACAGGCACCCACCACAACACCTGGCTATTTTTTAGAGACAGGTTCTTGCTCTGGCTCAGACTGGTCTCGAACCTGTGAGCTCAGGCAATTCACTCACCTCAGCCTCCCAGAGTGCTAGGATTACAGGCGTGAGCCACCGTGCCTAGCTGAAGTGTTCATTTTTAAATGGTTAATTTTATGTTATGTAAATTTTGCCTCAATTTTCTTTCTTCCTTTTTTTTTTTTTTTTTTTTGAGACAGAGTCTAATTCTATTACCCAAGCTAGAGTGCCATGGCATCGTAGCTCACAGCAACCTCAATCTCCTGGATTCAAGTGATCCTCCTGCCTTAGCCTCCCAAGTAGCTGTGACTATAGGCACCTGCCATAAGACCTGGATAATTTTTCTATTTTTAGTGGAAACCAAGTCTCACTCTTCCTTAGGCTGGTCTTGAATTCCTAGGCTCAAGGGATCCTCCACTTTTGGCTTCCCAGAGTGCTAGGATTACAAATGTGAGTTACCATACCCAGCTTCAATTTTCTTTTTAATGGAAGAAAGACAAACATCATCTCCAAGAGTAAAACACAAAGTCTCGTCAAGACTATATCCTTGTCCTCCTTCAGTCATATTCACCTGGAGCCCAACCTAAAATGCCAGTCATTCCCAGGGCTCTTTAAAAGCATATACTGCCTCCTATCTGTCAACAGCTCAATTGCAGGGTGAAACAATAGAGGGTGCAAAGAACAACAGAAAGCTACTACAGCCCCTACTTTGCATCTGGTCCCAAGGCCCAAGTTAGCCATGGCATCCTTCCTCCACCCCCACTTGTTCCTCTGCCCATCCACCAACACTTTGGCTGATTGGGGGGTTTAATCTAGTGGAGTGTCCTAAACCTTTATTCCTATCCAATTCAGCTTCCTACTGTCTTTGCTGGGTTGCCAGCTTTCCGCTGCTGTCAGCACTGGACATGGGAGAGTCTCCTGCCTACCTCACTGCAGTAGGAGCCTACTGGCCTTCTGGTAATCCACATTGATAACCCAGTCTGGAGCAGGTGGGTTATCAATCAACCCCTCTCTGCCTTTTGCTTAAGCAACATGCAGAGCTGCAAACCACCAAGAAGAACATGCTACTTCCAATTTAAAGGAACTGAGAGGTCAAAAATTGAAAATCAAAAGATTATTCCAAAACATGAAATGAAAGGAAACAGTCCAGGATCTGTGTGGGCAACGGCGGCCTTTATTCCCACCCAGGTGCAGGTGAGTTGAGTTCGAGAAGGAAGTCAGTGTGTGGGTTAAGGTGGACAGGAATTTTAAAGTGTTGAGAGGGTGGGGGTTGGCACATTTCCTCTTTCCTGGGTGGGACATTCTATTTGGGCGGGTTGGTTCTATTTGGGCTGGTTCCTCCATTTGACTCTGTCAGGAACTATATCTGTGTTCCCTGGAAGAAAGATTCCTCCTTTGGGCATTAAGGACTCCAGACCCACTGAACACAAAATCAGAGATAAAAAGTAAAAATTCCTACAGTCAAGTGATTTGGAATAACAAAAGGGCCACTGCCACATCCACCCCTTGGCCCCTGGGTCTGTGTGCTCTGACTGAGATGGGGGAGCCATATGTTAGCCACTGATCTGAAGCATATACTGCCTCCTACCTGTCAACAGCCCAATTGCAGGGTGTCGTGTCCCTGCTGGCTGTACCCAAGATGCCTCCCTTCTAGGGCCCATTGTAAAACCAGCACATTCCATGGGTGAAATTGCTGTGTGTCCTTCACCATAAAAGGC